TTAATTGTAATCTTTAGTTCTCTCTGGTTCCCTCTAGTCAACCTTCAAAGTCCCCTCTTATTATATGTCTATTCTCCAGTCAGCAAAACTTTCCCACGAGAGGATGTCTTACAGTTAATTTCAAAATCTTCATATATGCTTTTATAAAAATGTTAATCAACCCATAGGAAATATTCTTTCAAGTCCATCTGGCACCTTAACTTTCCAAAATCAACATTCTAAATGCTCTTTTGCTGTTTCTCAAAAATTATTTTTTTTCTATTTAATCTTTAAACTTATATAAAACTTCTTTAATCCATAATAGAAGGAAACTCTCCCAGTGTGATGAAACTTGCCCTTCAGAAGGTTCTTAACATCCAAAAAGTCGATAAGTAATTTCCTAAAGTAGTTAAAAGAGGAAGTGGGCAAACCCAGTGTCCACCGAACCACAGCTTAGGCAAGAAGATTTTCCCCTGGCTCCCAGATCTCTCAAACCCAGCAGAGATTGTTATTTTGCAATCTCTTCATGGGTGAGCCTCTGCATGGAGCAAACTTGTGGGTGATCCTAATCCTTTCCTTGATCCAGAGAGGGTTCTAAGGAGCTGATCCCTTCACCAGTTCCTCTTTCTGCCACAGCCGTTAGCTCCACTCATGCGGAGCCATCTTCAATCTGCCATTGCTTCCCTGGAAGCCTCCTGGCATAGTTTCCAGAAGCTGGCATAGTCAGGTTGAGATTACACTGCCAAAATGGAGCTGGAAATGAGTGTGCTAAGCCTCTGTTAGGCAAAACAAATTCAGCTTTTAAATCTGTCCAACTTCCAAAACAAAGAATGTTGCTCAATAGCAATTCTGGAGGACAAATTATACCCCCAGGCTGAAGAATAATGCCTATTTTTGTCTTAAGGAAAAGGAATTCTGGTATCAAGATTTTAATTGTAAGCCGCCCAGAGTCACCCTCTGGGGGAGATGGGTGGCATATAAATTTAATAATAAAATAAAAATAAAACATAAAATCAAGATGCCATAAGGGAGGACGTTCTGTCTTATGTTTTTATTTCATAACATTTCTAATATACAGAATATAGAATATACAGAAATGCTTCCACAGCTGATCTTAAAATATGAGCAAGAGCAAGCCAGATTTTCAGATATCCTGGCTCTGAAGCAAATACATCCTTATTGCAATGTACGTGAGTTGTTAGTCTTGCTTTGTTGGTTCTGTACTTCTGTGGAGATAATTATTCTGAATCTTTTTGACAAGGATATGAGATAATGAGAGGAGGCATGGAAATATATGGCACCAGGGGAGATCATATATAAACTGAGACTTGGGAAACCAAATAGGAAACAATGAGAGGGGAGACTAAAATGCTTGAATTGTCATTCAGTTTCATTCTGGTTTTTAAGTCATAGGACATACTGTTAGTTCTACTTTGACCAAAAGAAAACTGTAATACCAATATAGTGGGACAGAAAGGTGGCAAAAGCTGTGTTTTTGCTAAGATACTTCTACAAGGATCTACATTAGAAAGGCTTGATGGAAAAAACTTTTATACAACAGTTGGGAAACACAAATAAGATTCAAGAAAGAAAGGCAATGCATGCATTTTTTTTCTGTACCAAGTGAATCTTTTAAGAGTTTTTCAAAGAGAAGATTTTTACCGTTTTTTATACTTTTCCTAATGGAAAAATCATTGTATACAGCTCAAGATGTTTTCATGTCCTTGAGGTTGATTTCTGCTATTAGTTTTAAAAGATATCCATGGAAGCCATGCTGTTCTCTGACTTGGTTCTAAGCTAGGAGTGAAAAATCTATGGATATCTTAATGTTTTTTTGGACTACAGTATATTTTGTTTAATTTCCAACTTTTGGTCATGCTGGTTTGAGCTTGATGGGAAGTGGAATCCAACAACATCTGAAGAGATTTCCTCTCACAAAGGAAATGATCATAATAAATGGCAGGTAAAGTAGCTAAGAAGTTCACAGTTCCTTGGATAAATGCATCAATCCACAAATGGCCCAAGGTTGAGAGTAGAAATAGCTACTTCGCTGGATACACACAAGACTGTGTCCTTAATCAGATTAGGCAGGCAGATGTCAACAAAGCACTTCGTTTTGTGTGTTTAGAGAAGGCTTAACTCAGGCATGGATATATCTATCATGGTGGTTACTAAGTCTCCTCTTTATCTCTTGGCAGAACCTTTGTTATCTGGAGAGACTGCACTGCCTTTGAAGTGTCCGGGGGATGATGTAAACCTCTCACCACTGGCTTCTGTGGATGCCTTGCTTCTGCAGGGCAAGGATGACTTCTCAAGTTTTCTGCCCTCTGAATTCATTGCACTTTCACCACCCCAGACTCAGGACTACCATTTTGGGCTCGAGGAGGGTGAAGGCATCAGTGAGCTCTTTGACTGTGACTTTGGAGACTTCACTTCCTTGGATTTCTGAGTATCCTTGGGTTGGGGGAGAGGGGAGCACCCCAACTCTACCCCACCATGGGGAATTTTTTTTGGAGCTGACATCTGAATATAATTCCAAGGCTAGCTGTGGCCTTCAGGGCCAACGTGCTGGAAATCAGATGCCAGGGAAGGAAAATGGCGGCTGCGGTGGGGCATCAGTGACAGTGAGAGCACTCAGCTCCTGGAAAGGCTGCTTCTTGCTGGCCATCTCCCTGTAATTAAGGGAGATGGCTGTGAAGCTAATTGCTGCTGTGAATGTTGCAAGCTTGTTTTTGTGACCTGATTGAGAGTCAGCAGGCATCACCTCAAGCCTGCTGTGCCCAGGCCCAGAGTAGTAGTAATACTTAGGAATGGGTGAGTAGTGTCACCTTGATTCTCTGGTGCCATGTTTGGAATCTGTAGGGATAGCTCTAGTGATGCTGTTACAGCAGCCTTGTTATTCTTGTTGAACCACTCCTTTTCCTGAAGTTCACTTTAGATCATACTTAGCTGTGGGCAGGCCCCTTTTTTATCAGGTGCTTATTTTTCTATGTTTTGAGCAATTTCTCATCTTGCCTTAGAAAAACATGGTGGTCAGAAGCTATCCTTAGAACAGGGGCCTTTCCATTCCTTTCTCAGCAAACTGTTTGGGTTGTGCAGCAGAAGCACTGTGCACGTTATTGTGAGGGACACCTTTCTGCCAGACAGCTGTGGGAGAAGGTGACCAGAATGGTACTTCTCAGAGCAATCAGTGATCCCCTATCCTCCTACAATCCATCTCTTTCTGATTGGTTGGCATTTTTAACTTGTGATCCAGGGCTGGGAAAATCTTTTTGCTGGCAAATTGTAAACCAGAGATTTGTAACCCAGTAGTCAAAGTATGGCCATGTGGAGGAAAGAAAGCCAGCTGGATGGATAGGATGGGTTATATATATAGCCTTTTGTTAAACAGGCTGCTCAAACTAGTGAAACATAATGGGTGACTGGATGTGTTAGAAAAGTGGGTGGGCTTTTTTCTTTTTTCCTTTTTTAAAAAAGTTCTGGTTGAAAAGGAGAAACTGGCTTTCAAATATGAGGCACCAAGGATGGTGGGGTGAATTGTTTCTGGATGCTAATGCAGGCATAATTTTTTTTCTTTTCCCCTGTGGGCCTCACTATAAAGCTTTAAGGAGGGTCCTGTACAGATTATTTATTTATTTTGGGTGCTCCTCACCTACCACCATGGATATTGTTTTGTGGAAAGCCCATTCCTGATAGAATGTATATATATATCTGGGGATGGGATGGGTTTTTTTTTTTATGATGATTATTTTTTTTAATAGTGAGAGGTGGTTAGCCTGCTCAGGTGTCTTTAGTTCTAGAGCAGACAGCCAACAAGGCAGAGGGGACACTGCTTGTGGTAGGAAATGAAGTTGCTGGAACGTTTTGCTTCAGCAGGAGGAAGGGAGGGTTGCTCGCTATTCTCCATGACAGTAAGGGAGGCTAACCCTACACAGTATTGAGAGACAGCAAGCAACTAATACCTTTGTTTGACCCTTTCCTGTAAAGTGAAGGGAAAAACACTAACTCTGTCTCCTCATTATCCCCAACCCCCATGCTAAGCATAGTGTGTGTCCAGAAATCATGAATTCATATTATTTATTTATTATTTATGTGGCTCCATCCAGTGTTCCTGGAAGATAAAGGATAGTATCCGAGGAATATGGGTGCATGAAGTAGAACTCAACATGTCCAGGTGTGTGGAAAGAGGCCCTTATGGTATCTTGTTAGAATTGCTGACCTAGCAAGTGGCAGCAGAGAACATGATAGTCACTACAAGTAGGTTGTAGTCAGAGAGCCTTGAATAGCGAGGAGATTGAATGTCTCATCAATATGTTGAGAGAGTACGACTGGTCAGGACTAGTGAACTGAAATGCTATTTATTCATAGAGGATGGACAGCAGGTTCATCTTGTAGAGCAGTGTTTCTCAAACTCAACAACTTTAAGATGTATGGACTTCTACTCTCAGAATTCCCCAGCCAGCATGCTAGCTGGGGAATTCTGGAAGTTGAAGTCCACACACCTTAAAGTTGCTGAGGTTGAGAAACACTGTTGTAGAGAAATATTTTGGTATGTTGAAAGGGAGGGTGGGGGAGGGAAACACACACCATGCTAGGATATGAGTTTGGGGAAGGAATGGTTTTATTCCAGGTTTATCCATTTTGAGAAGTAGCTTTAGTTGAAGGAATGGGGCTTTAGCAGCAGGTATAGATGCCATCAGCTTGACTAGGGGTTTGGCCTAGTGCGTCACAAAGCAGTAATTGGTGCTGTCCCTGAGGTGCCTTCTTAGTTCTTTAAGTATTATTTCAGTTACTGGAACTCACCAAAGTGTGCTCCTGTATGTTAGGAGCGTCTTTTGCTTTATGGAAAGGTAACCATGACTCTGTGTGTGGCTTTGGGGGGGATGGGCAAGGGTTGTTTAGTAGTATACTTAACAATTGAGAGAACTACTACTCATGTAATGCATTGTGGCACCTAGTCCTAAATAATTTAAACTGCACTGGAGCTTCTTTTGGACAAGAATGAATGAAAGCACCTCTAAGTGGGTCTTTTTCGGCCAACACATATAACACGCCTCCTCAAATTAAACTTCATCAGCCAGCAGGTGGTTGTATAAACATGTAGGTACATAACATGATTCCTGTCCTCTCTCCTCACCTTTCATCCCTTTTGCAGGTTGCCAGATCCTAAAGCTGAATCAAGTTAAAAATTATCTCCCTGTTGCTAGGCTCTGCATAAGAAGAAACAGCTAACTCTCCCCAAACATTGCATATTGCAAGCTGGACATTTGCAAGTAGACTGCCCTAAAGAAACTGTTAATGCTGTGTTCTCTTAGCCTGCACTGCTTCAGAATAATAGCTGGCAAAATATGTTCTCTGCCTCTCTATCCAAGGTACACCTTATTTTCTGTTTCAGATACAAACAGGAAAACAATTTGATCATGTTCACATTAATTGCTGACCTCTAGGTGAGCCTTATCTTATCTGGGTGCCTTCTGGATTTCCTATAATCTCAAGTGTTATCCAGGCTGGCTGGGGCTGATGGGAGTTGTAATTCAACTCATCTAGAGAGCACCAGGGTTACAAATCTGGATTGCGTTTCTGTACATAGGTCATCTCCCCTTTCCGACAGGTTTATCTTTGGATACCTCCAAAGGAGTGGATGTTAGTTCTGGGGCAGCAAAGAGAGTCACAAGTTATTCCAAAGGACTCACTGACGAATTTATTTCTCTTGGTATGTCCTTTCTGTGCATATCTTGCTTTCCCAAGGGAGAGACAAGTGTTGATCTGGCCAATTTCTTTCTGAGGCAGCTCACACAAAAGTTGCTGTGATGTGCCAGATAGTTTTTCTCATTAGCTTATCAAATGCAGGCTACTTAGTTAATTAGCCCCCCCTTCAGAAAAAGAAGTCTGGTTGCTATAAGAGAAGGGAACAAACAGATTCAGAAAAGATTGTGTTGATATCTGCCTAGTAGAGTGTTCCAATACTTTCCTGACTTGATGTTCCACTCTCATTGGTTGGGAACAATAATGCTATGATGCCGGGACCCCATTTCCTGGATATGTCAAAGCAATAAACCATGCTGTATTCTTTATATTTTAGATAATTCTTGAATGAATTTCCTTTTTGATGGCTACCTAGAATGTAAGGAGTACTGCATAGATCTGTGGTAGGATGGCAAACACCTCATAATTGTTACTAAAATTTTGTCCTGTAAAAGTCCCTGAAAAGACTTCAGCAAAATGTAGTACACAATATGGTTCAATAAGCTGAACCACATTTTAATAACAAGGCAGGATTTCAACCCTGTTCTGCTGCCTGCTTGGGGTTGGGAAAAAAAGTGTGCATGCTTGCATGAGAACTTCCTATGGGTCCCTCAAGTTCCTTGTGGAAAACAGCAAGCTGTTCTTCCCCCCAAGTTCAACAGACAAGATGGCCACTCTCTTCCCTGAGGATTTCAATTTTCACTTCTGCATTAACATTTTGTTTAATGTTTTCAGCCTTCAACTTCAGCATCACCAGCAGAAAGCTATCCAATAATTTTTCAAGTCATGTACTTCACATCTCATGCCTTCTCGCCCTGTCTGTGTGGGTAACCCTCATGGCTGAGATATCAGGATTTTGCTTGAAAGAAAGAAGACCTTCATTCTATTTGAGGAACTCTAGCCCCTCTATTTAAAGCACTCCCTCTGAACAGCAGTGGATTGGAGGATCCCAGTTGTCAGATAAACTAATCAGATCATTGATAGCTGAGAAAATGGCCAATGGTCAAAGCTTCAATATTCAGAGAAAAGCAGTCTAGAATTTTTTTTAAAGACAACTGAGTTCAGGATGGAATGGAATGGTATGTTACAGGCAGCCTATGACAAGAGCATGAGTTGTGCAAGTTGGCCTTGCACAGCAGAATTGAGCATTCTGTAATGGCTCTTTGATTGGAATGGTGACCTGCAGATGTTTAGCAAGAATTTTCAAGCACTTGAGAGAAGATCTGAGGTCACTTGCTCTTGTGATTAAAATGACTTTTGGAGAATCAGGTAAATATATGAACAAGAATGCCTGTTGCACCAGAAGCCTAGTATAAGAAAACCCATCCTCCCTGCCCCCCCCCCTTCCTTTTCTGGTGTAACAAGTATCTTGACTTTGAGCATGGGTGACCATATGCACCTGTAGAAAATTTTGCTGCTATCAACCTAAGAACCAGGGAGGATTGGAGCCAGAGCGCTCTGGTATCTTAATCCGAATGGGAAGCACTTAATATAGCTCATAATGCAAATAGTTTTGCAAAGCCTTAAAATCTATTGGATCAAAGAAATAAGCCTAGAGTGCATGTGATTCTCCTTCCAGCAGTCTTCTAGTGAGAAGCATGAGAAGTCCAGTTGGGCAAGTTCTTTTATTAAAATTGAAAGCACAGCAGAGGAGAAGGTATTGTACCTGTACCCCAGCAAGGAAACTAGAGTGTCCTGTGTAAGTGATGTGGAATCAAAGCATTATTTGGAAAAGTTATGGGATCTTGTGAGGTGGCTAAAGGTTGCTGAGATATTGTGATCATTCTTAAGGATTGCACCTTCTTTGGTAAGTTTCCAGAACAGACACCCAGGATTCTTTGGCAATGGAGCAGCCAAATGTGTTGCTAAACCTGCAGCACTTTCCAGGTGCCTGAACATTGAGGGAAGTGCACATTTGTGTCTGTGCCTTTTTTTTTTTAATAACAAGCCTTGTTCATGATTTGTGCCTTTAGTTTTAATAAACATTTCTAATTAATTTCCTCTTGACTTTTAAATATTTCTTCTTTAAATAGTGGGTAAGTACTTTGGACTAGTTGGTATTAAATAAGCATGTCCTGAGATGAAACGTCTGCATTCGCCTCTGTGCAGATGACTATTTGACTATTGGTTGCCTGGCAGTCAGGCAGCTTACACATCAAATGAGTAATAATAACAGCAACAAAGAGAGCAAACAGTTATCTAAGGCAGATCAAGGGTACAGCAAGTGTTCTGCTGGAGTAGACCAACAATGCACACAATCCATCAATGTTTCTCAGATTGGCCTCTAGAAAACCCACATAGAGCATGGCTCTCTGTGGATCTGCTATAAGGAATGGAATGACAGATCCAAATATGATTTGCATAATTATCCTTTTGGGACAGGTTTCATGAGATGTGGAGTCAAAACCAATGAAACATGATTGGGCATCTTAGCCCCCAAAGCACTAAGACCATGCTGCCAAAATTTAGTGATTTTGGGGCAGTGCAATTTTTGCAGGCAAGTTAGGCAGTTTTAAGGATCTACCATCTTAGCCCCTCCCCTGCACCATGCCTCCAGGTGGAAGAATCCTGCCAATTTCAGTATTAAATCCCCCAAGATAGGAAAACATGGATCAACAAATGTTGGTTCTGACCTTTTAGTGTCACCAGAAAGATTTATACAATCTAATAGCAGGCCTGGAGATTAAGTAGTGGGCCCCAACTGTCAAGATCTACGCGAGCTAGAAACCATAGTTGTTTTTAATTTAAACTAGCAATGCATCCTAAACAGTTAAATGGTTAAAATGTTAATTGCAGGCCCGCTTGCTTGTTCCTGCCACTGAAGTTAGGAGAAGTGGGGAGGCAGGTACCAAGCCAGGCACTGCTGTTATCTCTACAGATGCGCCAACAAGGCCCAGCCACCGTGCGC